TAAACCTTAGAGACTATTTGTAAAAGCCAGATGTTCTCCTTACTTGTTCACAATTTGATCTTGGAGTTAACTGAAAATGCAGGCTTTTCAATACAACTGGTAATGCCAACTAGTTCCAAAAGTTTGTTGCCAAGAAATTCTATACAATTGTGTCTTTCTCATGATTTCATTAGGCCATCAAACCACACTACAGCTGACAATTTCATTTCCTGAAGCAAAAGAATTTTGATACTAGAGTAGTAATTCTCTTTAGATCCTATTTAGTCAATCATATATCTAATCTAACTCTATTGGCTAACTTTTAATTATGCTCTTCGTACATTGAGTATAGTGTTGGTTGAACTCTATACTCACTTTCCCAGCTTGTTATTCTAGCTGGAAAAGATAGAATAAGAATTACATTCTAGTAGTTATTGCTGCACATATTATAAAAATATTTTCTGTGTAGAGGAATCTATAGAATCTGCATGCTTTAGGCATGGATTTTAATTTCAGGATGATAGATCTCTATATGGTAAAGGGCTCATGAATTGGCAGCATTCGTGCTAGGCAGTCATAAACTGGAGAATCTTACTCCAAGTATTACTCTACCTCCCTACCAGACACAAAATCTTATCTTTATGTACCTGAATAAAGTTAGAGTGTGCAGATCTATTAAAAGTGACATTTCTGTTACTCTTGTCTGCCGAGAGAGTGGAAAAGGCATTTAATTTCTGAATGGTTCACTTGAACTTGCAAATTAGGAAGGATGTGTTGTTTCTACTATTATAGTAATATTTATTGAGAGCTTATTGTGTTTCAGGCACTATCCTAATCTTTTTACACCCATTGTTCACAGCTATCATATCAGTAGTTATTCCCATTTTACAGATCAAAAGACAAGGGATCAAACTTTTCCTAGGCTGTGCAGTTAGACCTAGGTAGAAATCAGGTGGCCTGACTCCAAACCAGTGTTTTAACATTTTCATAATTGATTCTTTTTTTTTTTTTTTTTTGTGAGGAAGATCAGCCCTGAGCTAACATTCATGCTAATCCTCCTCTTTTCTTGGTGAGGAAGACTGGCTCTGAGCTAGCATCTATTGCCAATCCTCCTCCTTTTTTTTTCCCCAAAGCCCCAGTAGATAGTTGTATGTCACAGCTGCACATCCTTCTAGTTGCTGTATGTGGGACGCGGCCTCAGCATGGCCGGAGAAGCAGTGCATCAGTACGCGCCCGGGATCCGAACCCGGGCCGCTAGTAGCAGAGCGCCTGCACTTAACCACTAAGCCATGGGGCCGGCCCTCATAATTGATTCTTAAATTTGGCTGCACTTCATTTGGGAGCTTTACCAAAAAAAAAAACGTGCCTGGGAGGAGCCCCAGACTAATTAAACCAGAATCTCTTAGGGATGAGGTCTGGACATTGGTATTTATTGGTATTTTTAAAACATCTTCTGATGAGTCTAATGTGAAACCAGAGTTAAGAACCACTGCTCTGTAATTATATTGCTTCTTTTAGAATTAATTTCACTTAATTTGGTAAAGTAATCTGATAGTAGGAGATAAAGCACATCTGAAGATTTACATAAATGAATCAACTTAGTATATATGATTTTTTATCCTGGAATTGTGGGCCATGCAACTTAACATACCAGAAATAACAAAGGCCATTTATAAGGAGAAATTCAGAAAATTCTTAAGCTATAAAAGTATGTGTAGTTTGGGCTGGCCCTTTTCCTCAGCAAAAAGAGGAGGATTAGCATGGATGTTAGCTCAGGGCTGACCTTCCTCACACACACAAAAAAAAGTATGTGTAGTTTAATGAATATTGTTCTGTATGGAATTCCAAGCTTTAATAATGTCTCTAATTTTTCCAAGCTTTAATTCATTATCATGTTTTTAAAAATATTTGACAAGCTACTTGTATTTTAATGGTAATGGTACCATATGTTTGATATAAGTATGATCTGTTATAATAAGATAGCCAATAAAATATTTCCATACTCTCGAGTTTCAAAGTTGGGTGGTTCTAAGTATAGATGAGACTGTTATGAATGCAGACAGATAGGTAAATAATCATATTCATTGCATTTAATTTTATAAATTGACATTGGCTATGATGTTATAGGAACATAAAGTAACGTTTAACTTAATCTCAATTACATGTTTAGTTATCATCCTACTGTAGGATAGCAGAAGAGAAAATTGATCATGCTTGTGAACAAAAAGGATTGAATTAAGATTACCAAGAGACTTTTCATCTTGAATCTCCTGAGCAGGCTTGCTCACCTCACATTTATAATGTTCTGTTACTAAAATGTGGTTATTAAATTCAACACGGAGTTCTGAGTGAATAAGTTAGACATCCAAGTCTGGAATAAGTAGAATAGGTTGTTCATGTTCATGTAGGTTTTTTTTAAAGCACGCCGTTTTGTAAAGCAAAAAAACATTTTGGTACAGTGTTCCTTCTTTGCATGTTAGTACTATTTAAAAAATCACAGAATTTTAAGTTAGGAGTGGCAATTTCTTTAGTTATATAGAAATTCATGGAGGCAGTTGTATTCAAGGTTATACAACTATACAACTAGTGACAAGCTAAAACCACAGATGAGGTGTCTCCATTCCCTGTTCCTCTTGGCACTCTATCAGATTGCATATTTACCTGAGGAAAAAACTAAAACTCCAGGTTTAACAAATCTGTTTATAGTTCCAAATTTTTTTCTTGCAAGCTTTGTCTTTCCGGACCACCAAACATTAAATGTTGTGTGTATATATATATATTTGCAACAAAATAACAAATAATTTTTATTGAAAATGCAAAGAGATGTAATAGCACTGAATACTATCTTTTTAGGAGGGCAATAGATTTATATTTTTTGTTGTTTAACATTAATCACCCTTCCCCCCCCCCCAAAAATAGAACAAGAATGTTTGGGTAAAACTCTGTAAAAATATAAGCCTCTGAAATTAGAAAAATTTTAAGAAGAAAAACCATTTAATTTATTATAGATTGTAATAGAAACATAATCAGTTTTGCAGATTATCCAGCTCACGTCTAGCTTTCAATTCTGGGAAAGTCCCTTGAAAACCATCAATAAAGTTATGAGAGAAATCATGTGATAGGCCTGATGATGTAGTAAGAAATAGAACACAGAAGACTGTAGTCAAGCTGACTTTTCTTCCCTGATAATAGGGTGGATCCTTGACTACTGACATGGTCACACTCCTGCTGATGGCAGAAAAGGCTTGGTTAAGGCCTCAAGCCCATGATTTTAGACTGATTCTGCCTGCCGTGGGGGCTGTGTTGTCACCAGCAGTAATCTCCATGGAGGCATCACATGCCACATCTACTTTCTCATGTATTTTCTCTGTGTGGCTTGTTGCTGTTTGGATAGTAAAGCAAGGTCAAGCTGTATTTTTGGTATTACACTGAATGCAGGGCCTCATTCTCACCAGTTTTTTATTATAGACCAGTCTTTTTGGTATACCCTAGCTCAAATAGAGATAAGCAAACTCAGACTCTAGTCAGGTTGATGATGCTTTGCATCTACCTAAGAGAGAAAATCCTATTCCTCCTCCTCCCTCCTGTTTGTTTAAGCAGTATAGAATAACTGTTGAATCTAAGAAAATCCTCAAATCTGAATGGTATGTGAAGAAACCCAACTTTATTCTAAGACTTAATTCCTTCCAAGAGACTATGCATAATCTGTAGGGACATGTGAAACAGTAGAGATGGAGAAACTATGTGGTTTTCTATCTTTCCCAATAGTGTGGCCTTGTTGTTTTGCAGCCAGTGATTTCCCAGCCAGAGATAGAGCCATATTCAAATATAATCACACGTCTGCACTCCCAAGACTAACATAGATGCTCCTTGAATCATTCACCAAATAGACCAAGTATGCCTCAAGGGTCTACTTTCTAAGCATGTATGTGTTGTATTTCATTAATGATGATAAAAACACCCCTGTTACTCACATTCTGAATTTTGGACTATGTTCTGTATCCTAAACTAAAGCAACTTATCAAAATTGTGGCAAACGTAGTTATGATACTAATGCTATCTTTCAAAATATGTATGAAAATAATACATCTCAATAGGTCATGTGCTTAGTATTTTAGTGGTGGGGATTGGTTTGCATTAAGTCAGAATTTGTTTAAATAGGACTATTGTATTTATACAGGTATGTTATTGACTTTACAACTTGGCATCTTACAAAGATAATGACACATTTTGGTGAATTTGAATTTCCTAAATCCTTTGCCAGGTAGGAAAGGGAGAAATTATTACATATAGGTTTTATGGCTTTTCATGAATAGACCATTTTCTTTTTGGTTAAAAATGTGAAGAAAACCTGTTAGGTAAAGATGCTTTTAGATTTCTCGTGCTTCCAGTAGAAAAATACAAATCGTGCTGAAAAAGTTCTTTTATATAGACATTTTAAAGGCAAAATTCTGAGCAAATTACCTTTTTCATGGTGGGCCGAGGGAAAAAGACATTATGTGTTATAAACCTGTTTTTTCCCTGCATACATCTTATTCATGCTGTTTAGTAAAAGTAACATTTCTGCTAAGAACTTTTGTAATGAAGATTATTCCACGTGCTAAAATTTTCAGTTAAACTGGTTGGACAGTAAGAAAACATAGAGAACCCTGTATTATAATCTCTTATAATTCTTTTGCATGACTTAGACATATTACCCTATTCATTTACATTTTTGAAATACATAATAATGTACTTGTTTTCAGGATTATAGCTCTCCTTTATTCAAAATGCAGTTTTGTGGAGCAAAATATCCTCCTTTTATGTTCTGTTATGGCAGATTACTGTTGCATTGAAGCTTTTATTTCTAAGAAATGTACTACACAAGGGTGTTAGAAATAGCTTTGCAATAAAGGAAGCTGTGTGGTGGAAGCAAAGGGGCAATAGTGGATAAATTGTGCAAAAGGCTGCTTGTTTGGAAATCAAATTTAACTTAAAAAAGCTTTCAATCACTAGTTAATATAACTGCTTTAAATTTACAGACAGTGGGAGTAGCTCACCGTTACCCAAGTATGCTTCATCTCCCAAACCAAACAACAGCTACATGTTCAAACGGGAGCCCCCAGAGGGATGTGAGCGAGTGAAGGTCTTTGAGGAAATGGCGTAAGTAATGTCTTTTCTATCAGCTGGGATCTGCAAAGCTGTAAAGCTTTTTACTGAGACCAGTTGATTACAGATGAATCAACTACTCCGTCCAGCTGATAATGTGTTTCAAAAGCAAATTATGAAAAGAGAATTGAATAGGCAAAAGAGCTCTTATTGAAGGAGAGTTGAATCTGTATGCTGGAAATATATGAGCTAATACAAAGAAACTTGGAAATTCATCCTAACTACCTAAAAGATCTATTTTCAATCATTATGAATTTTCCTTTCAAAAGTTCTGTTAATTTAGCAGCAAAGTTAATATCCATGTGTGGCTAGCCTAATGACAGTGATTTCATAAGCCAGAGGGAAACTAGTGTCTTTCCCTGTAGACACATCTAGCATGTGTATTCATTAAATTTAGACTTTCCCTTCACAGATTTTTTTTCTTTTTGAAATCTTAACATGTATAAATTAGAAATTAAAGGAAAAGTGGTTCAAGCTATAAACACTTGGCAGAATAGCTCAAAAAAAGACTGCGTGGCTCTTGGACTCACTCATCTCTTTGTCCCAGTGTGGGTGCCTGGTGAAGGCTGCTGTCCTCTTGCACCCTGTGAGGGGCAGAGACCCGTCTTGCAGGAGTTGTTGGTTTAGTTCCCAGGAATGGGAGGAGAGGAAGGGCTTGTTGACCCTGCCCTGTTAGGCTGACTGGCTCTTCAAGAAACTACTGAAATTTTTTTTTTTCCGATCTGTTAGTAGAAGTATGTATAGAGATGCAGAAGTAGGAGGAAATGTTTAAAACCAAATATATGATGGGGTAATCCCTCTCCCAATATACTTTTTCTTAACAGAAAAGGTCATTCTAACCTTGCATAATCTTCAACTATAACGTAGGAGTTTTTTTCATGTTCCTAAGTGGTTGAAAGAAAACTAATGATCTCTGAAAAAATTTGTCTGCCCAGTCCTTTTGAAAATGCTTTTGTCTCAGATATCACTTCAGTGCTGTGTACATCAATGGTCTGCCAGCTGACTTGTGCTATGGAAGATGTTTACCCCTCTGTGTACACTTAACTCATTCCCTGCCATTCACATTTTAGCTGTTTTAGAGAACTCCAATTCAGTAAGTGCTTAACTTTTTAGTGATTGTAAACCTAATTTTGTTTTATGATTTTAGGTCTCGTCAGCCTATCTCAGCCCCTCTCTTTTCATGTCCTGACAAAAACAAGGTTAATTTCATCCCAACCGGATCAGCTTTCTGTCCTGTAAAACTTCTAGGCCCTCTCTTACCTGCCTCCGACCTGATGCTCAAGAACTCTCCTAACTCTGGCCAGAGCTCAGCTCTGGCAACCCTAACCGTTGAGCAGCTCTCCTCCCGGGTTTCCTTTACATCTCTTTCTGATGACACCAGCACAGCAGGCCCCACAGAGGCCTCTGTTCAACAGCCATCCCAGCAGCAGCAGCTCCTGCAGGAACTGCAGGGTGAGGAACACATCTCTGCTCAGAACTATGTCATCATCTAAAGCAAAGGGGGAGCTGGCCTCCACCCTGCGTTCCATGGATTAAGAACTAGATCTCAGATATCTATCTGCATGGAGTGACAAACGTACTGAACACCACCACCGACAACAGAATACTTAGCAGCGTCATAAAGTATCTCTTAACACTGATCTTGGCAGGGACGGAACTCCTATTCAGCAGTTTTCGTGGAAAGCAGTAATGCTTGCAAAATGTGTGTGTCATTCAGCATTTTAAGTGGAGACTATGCATTTCATAGTATGTTTGACAGATTAGTACTGTGTCCTGTGTTTTGTTCCAAATTCTTCAGTATAAATAAGCTCTATATCAAAAAGTTGCCTGTCTAAATAGGAAATGTCTTGCTGTTTGTTGTCCTATGGAAAATACTGTACTTCAGGATTATGTTTACAATTGATCCAGGTGTTTGTTTCTAACTTCTGTAATACATACAATGCAAAAAAAAAAATAAATAAATGGCCACAACAGTTGCACAGTGCCCACCCTATGGCCTAGCTTCAGGTACTTCAGTTGAAGTCTAAACTCAGGTAACTTGGAATGTATATCATATTGGGATATTAAATATTTCACAGCTAAAACGCTAAAGAGGGAACATCACTCTTTTGCCTTTCCTTATTTTATGCATTTCCCTTTCCTCATTACATTCCACATGCTTAGAATAAGAAGTGCATTCAACCCTAGGAGAATGATAATCCTGGACATGGGTGAACATGAGGAGAACCAGCAAACCTGTGGTGTCTGACATCACTTTTGTCATGTGGTTACAAGTAAAACAACTGTTGCATTTGCTGTTTCAACATGTGTAAATGTGGCTTTTTTTACAAGGTCAGGTGTTGCTCAGTTAATGACTATTACAATGTTGCAAATAAAGTGTCCAGTACTAGGCTGTACATAAACATTCCACATTGTGGGTGATGGAATTTAAAGATAAGAATGTCTAGGTTTAATTTCAGACCAAGTGAAAGTTGAACAAGTGAACGGGGGATAGTTGAGCATTTTTGTTTATGTTGGCCATCAGGGTCATGAAGTGCTACTATTTTATCTAAAAGCATATTAATGTTTTGTTTCTCTTTTGGAAATTCTTTAATTTGCAGGTTAAGAAACGACACACTTCTGATTATTGTTTTCGTCAAGCAGTTTAGGGACATGAATTGCATTCATGTAGAGAGAGAATACTTGGGTCTCGGAATTAATGCAATGTAAGTAGACAGGTTATCAGGTGACTTACAAAAGCAGTAGTTTGAAGCTGTCTTATTTAAGCCTCATAATATCATGATTAGTTCTGTTAATATTTTGAATATGCGAAGTAGAGCATAAATCCAAGTAAATAGCCTTGAACTTGCAGACTCGACCTAACTTCTCAACCAAGTGTGAGGAGAGCCCTAGATATTCCTGACTGGTCAGTAGAAGAGCCCGACTTTCAGACATTGTTTTCTGCAGCACAAAGAGAGTATCCAAAAGCAGAGGGAAGTTTTTGTATTTTTATTCCATTGCTTTCAGTTCGATAAAACATAGAGTTGTTTCATCTGCACCTAAAGTGTATGGCACAATTTTCTTAAGAATTAGGGGAATAAGGTGCCTACAGTTACAGGAACGTTTCAGTTCCCTTCAGTCATTCCTGGGTTTTTCCTTGTTTTATTTTTTAAGGAGGTTGAAGAAGGAAGAGGTGATAAAGAAGAAAGCAACACCATTGATTTTTTTTTGAAGAAATGGCACATATATGTATATATGTGTGTGTGTATTCTGTATGTTATTTTGTCATGATCCCAATTATCTTCTTTCCACCAAAGTTTGCAGTAATATTCTCTCCTGAAGGTGCATTCTGGCTCCTTTAAATTAGTCAGTGTTATATTGTAGGAGGCTGTCATGGAAAAGGACTCAGTTTACTTTTGTCATTTTCACAGGGGAACCTTTTAAAACAATCTCTTCAGCAGCAGACACCTTTAACCCTAATAATCTCAGGCCTTGATGAAAATACTATATTTTGTAGATTATGGTTAAAGGGAGAAAACTATTAGTTCTGTAAGATAAATATGAGCTCCATTAACTTCTGATATCTGGTTTAGCATTACATGTGTTGATCTTATGCTCTGCTTTTATCCAAATAAGATGCAATGGTATCAATATCAATTTCTGAAAGATAGACTGAATATGCTTTTTTGGTGATGAAATCTGATGTACGATATTTATAGTGACGTGCTTTTATTTTCTCATGAGAAACAATATTAATTGTGTTGTACATTTGTTCTTAGCATATATTAGTTTTGAACCAAATGTGTTAAAGCTTATGCTTTGCCTTGTAAATTTCCCAGAAGTTGTTGAGCTCAAATGTATCCTACATCCAGCTGTAGAAATTTGTCAGAAATTGTTTAAATTTTGTATATAGTTGTACTGTTGAATTCTAGCCACTGCGGTGAACAGTATTCAAGTTACCATATAATATGGCTTTACACAAGGAAATGTGTGGCTTTTGTTTTGTATTTTTTAAGTATAGAAGTTCCTGTGTCTTATTTAAATAAAGTTATTAGTAAAACTGGAATAGTTCACATATGTTTTTGGAAAGCTGGGTTGTTAGCATCTCACCTGATGGAGATGAATTCAGCTCAGGGTACTGGCGGTGTCAGCGCTCACTGAGTTCCTGACCTGCATCTCTGGGCTGTAGGGAGTCTAGCAGGATCCGATTGCCACGGCCCGGTCTCCTCTTGACATTGAATTTACACACTTTCCATCACAAGGTAAGAAGCTAGATGTCCCAAGTCTCAAGTCTTTGTACTGCTCTCAGCTGTGAGCACCTTAAATAGAGAAAATAGTGTCCCCACATCATTATTTTATACCTAAGAATTATTTATGGAAATAAGTTTTTTAAGTTTAGTGAAATCACCTCAAAGGAAGTTGCATATTTCTTGCAAAGAAAGCTGCAGCAAAAAAATTTATTTGTTTACTCTTTACATTTAGATTCAGGATAAGAGGGAGAAAAGCTCGATAGAACAAAGGATGTGATGCCAAGTTATCCAAATAGGGTCATGATAGGCCTTATGGTGGCCTGAAAGCAAAAATAAAACACTTTGAGAAATAATTTACCTGCAGTGTTCTTCATTTCCGAAGTACAGCTCATCAAAGAGATTGATAAGATTTGGCCTTTAAATTGAACTTAAAAATGACTATTTCGTAGCTGTGTTTTGGGCTGAAAAAAGTAAAATATAATTTTTTTTTTTTTTTGCTTTTTTGCTGGGAAAGATTCACCCTGAGATAATATCTATTGCCAGTCTTCCTTTTTTGTTCCCCGTCCCCAAAGGCCCAGTGCATAGTTGTGTATTCTAGTTGTAAGTTCTTTTAGTTCTTCTATGTGAGCCACCACCACAGCATGGCAACTGACAGACAGATCCTCTGGCCCTAGTCAAGCCTTCAGATGACTGCAACCTCATGAGAGACCTTGAGCCAGACCAGCTAAACTGCTTCTGGGTTCCTCCCCCTCAGAAACTGAGAGAGAGAATCAATGTTTGTTATTTTAAGGTGCTAAGTTTTGAGGTAATTTGTTACATAGGGTTAGAGAACTAATACAAAACAGCAGCTGCGCCCTGTGCCTCCCCATACACACATATACCCATTCCTGCCACAAACATCACCTAGAGTCTTGCTATTTCCTTCTGTCCTCTGGGTCCAGAAAATGAGGCTTCCCTTTTTCAAATGGACACCTTGAAAGAAGCCCTTTTGGATTAGGTCTAAAACAAAGCTTTCTCATACAAAATTTTATTTGAGCAACTCACGTGATATTAAGTCTACAGTGTGTGCCTAAAAGTTATCTTGTCTAACCACTAAACCATCTTACCTAAGACAATCCAATGGGAGGAAAAATTAAACCCTTGCAGAAAAGAATTCCCTGTGGAAAATGATGCAATAAAGTGGGATAGGTTATCAGTTTTTAAAGCTGGAAAAGAAGAAAAAGAATCTCTCAAGAAAGTGAGAAGTATTTTGACCTTGAATGTCTTTATTTTTTTCCTTTAGTTAACAGGAGGCTATGACCCATTAGTTCTAAAATGGCCTATTCCATTCCATAAGCATTTGCATTTCTCAAAGAAGAAAGGAAAAATAAAGTTTTCCAAAAGTCCTGGATCTGTTTGGTGATGGCCCTTTACATTCAAAACAGCCATTTTTTTAACACTAAAAATTTGAACAGTTAGATCATTTTTCCTCCAAAAGATTTTCTGATAACAAGAAATGGGTCCCCTTTCACACTACAAATTCTACTCAAGTCTTGGCATCAGTTTTAAGCATGACTTTGATGACATTCCTTTAGCCAGCATTGCATATGGCCCTGCAGGCAATGGATGTTATTTCAAACCACTGTCTGGAAGCATGCTGGATAAAAGGTGGATGTAGGGCCCCACAAAGACCTGCCAAATGGGGGAAAGGGTTCATGTGGGAAAGGCAAACCATTTCTCAGGTTTTCTATTCCACTTTGTAAAGGAACAAGGTTGTACTCAAGAGACAGAAGTTAACAAAGGACACTGCTCATGTGCTGCAATAAACAGCCTGCCATTTTTCATACGGACTGAAATCAAGGTAAACAGGGTAATCTTAACTCATTCTCTATTCACCTGCTCATTTGATTACAGACAAGCACCTGGTGTGGTCTCTCTGGCTTCCTTTCCCAATGACCACCCTGGGAGCTTTGTGTGAAGAACCTATTCCTTTTTGAGTCCCTGATGCTTTCTCCTGATCACTCCCCTAAATCCAAGACCATAGCCACAGGTCTTGCAGGAAGACAAGAGGGAGGAAGAAGAGGCTAAAGATGGTTACACCTAGTGAATAGGATCTGTGGGTGGGGGGAGGAGAGTGTTGAGGCGAGCCTTCACAATATTCACATGCCCTTCTGAAATATTTGATTTTTTTCCTTACAATGAGCATGTATTCCTTTTGTAATGTTTTGTACAAGAAGACAAGGAAGCGACATGACCTTCATTCTGCAGACTTGTTGGCATCCTCTTCCCTCCGCCTGCACCACCACCTTGCCATTCATCCATCATCCAGTTTGCAGCAGAAAGTGGATATCACTGAACTGACTGCTTTACATATTTCTGTTATAAAGACAAGGTGAAACTCAAGGGAAGTGATCAACATGAAAATAAATGTTTAACCTCACTAGTAATCAAAGCAATGCAAATTAAAGCAACAGTTTGTTGCCTTTAAATTGGCAAAGATTAAAAAGGGGGATAATATCCAGTGCTAAGGGATAGGCAGGGATATGGTCCCTCTCATATCTGCTATTAGAGGAATAAATTGACACATCCTTTCTGAACAAGAACGTGGCAGCACTTACGCCAAGTGGCAAAAAGCAGGTCACAAACCAGTGAGATCCCTTGGTTTTGCAAAAATACATATGTATGTGAGTAAAGAAAAAAAAAAATTAAGAATGTACAAAAATTAATAGTGGTTATGTCTGGGTTATGGCTAATTTGTCTTTAATATTTGCATTTCTATTTTTCTAAGTTTTCTCTGGTAGCAACTATTAAACCTGTAATCTGAGAGAACATGTTAATTTCTAAATATCAAGGGAGGGAGGAAATGAAGGAAATGGCAGCAAAAGATTTGGTTTTAATGGAAATTAGCAGCAGATCTCTTAAAATCAAGGTGGCTCTAGAGAACGCTCGGTAGAGAGAACGTTGCCTCAGTGGAAGAATCCAAACGTGACAGAGAGTTTCAGGCCTTTTGTTCTTTCTCAGAAAAAATAGCCCTAACACCCTCATGCACAGGTAAAGAGAAATTATTTAAGCCTGGAGTGGGGTTGGAGGTGTGTCTGGGGAAGGCTGGAGTTTTCCTTCAGAGGACAGAGCATGACTGGTGTGTGGCCCATACGAACAGCCCTCCACTCATCTGAGGTGGATTTGTGAAGCAAGCAGCAAGGAGCCTAGAAATCTGCCTGTCATTTCTATTTCTTGAACTGCTTCATGTAGAAAATTGAAGAGGACCCCCTGCCCAAAGCAAACTATAGAGCCCTGAAAATGGCCAACAGGGTGTTCTTGATTGTGACTCATATTTCTCAGCACACTCTTTACTTAGGGTTGTTTAGTCTAGTTTTACAGAGACTGCCTGAAGGGGGGACACATGAGATGGACGTTGACCAGAATTTGTATTAGAGAAGATTGGGAATGAGAGCACTAGACAAGCTGAGGTGGATTCCTTGGCTTGAGAATCACCAGTTCGGAGAACTTGGCTCCTCCTGTTAGTCTTTGAATCTGTAGCTGGCATAAGCCAGTGGGGCAGAGCAACTTGGGGATTCAGACATTTGCTTACTTCTCCTTCTTGGCAGGTTTCTGCCCCTTATTCACCAAACTGAGTCTCAGCACTTTGCCATCTGTGATTTTGGTTAGCTGGCGGGCCACGCCTGGTAGAACTATGTCCCTCCCACATTCTGGACCCCAGAGGTAGTGTGGCATAAGGGGAAATGGTCCAGATTTGGCATCAGATGAGAGTGAGTGATGACTCAGTAGGCCTAGGAGTCTTTATTTGTAAAATAGAGATAATAATTCTTAGTCTGCTCAGGCTGCCATAACAAAATATTAGAGGCTGAGTGGCTTAAACAACAGAAATTTATTTCTACAGTTCTGGAGGCTAGAAGTCCCAGATAAACGTCCAGGAGGGTTTGGTTTCTAGTAAAGACTCTCTTTCTGGCTTGCAGACGGCTGTTTTGTCCTCACATGGCCTTTCCTCTGCACTGTGGTGTGTCTTCTTATGACACTAATCTATCAGATCAGGGCCCCACCCTTATGACCTCATTTTACCTTAATTACCTCCCAAGGCCTTATTTCCAAATACAGTCACATTAGGGTTTAAGCCTTCCACATATGACTCTGTGAGGAGACACCATTCAGTGCATAGCAAATACCTACTTCCATTAGGGAGATGCAAATTAAAACCACAGTGAGATACCACTTCACACCAACTAGGATGGGCATAATCAAAAAGACAAATAATTACAAGCATTGGTGAGGATGTGGAGAAATTGGAAATCTCTACACTACAGGTGGGAATATAAAATGGTGTAGCCACTTTGGAAAACAGTCTGGCAGTTCCTCAAAAGGTTAAGCATAGAGTTACCATATGACCTAGCAATTCCACTCCTAGGTACATACCCAAGGCAATAAAAACGTAAGTCTACACAAAAACTTGTACACAAATGTTTGTAGCAGCGTTATTCATAACAGCCAAAAAGTGGAAACAATTCAAATGTTCATCAATTGATGACTAGATAAATAAAATGTGTCATATCCATACAATTGAATATCACTCAGCAATAAAAAGAAATGGAGTACTGATATAAATTGTAACATGTATGAACCTTAGAAACATTATGCTAAGTAAAAGAAGCCAGTCACAAAAGACCACATATTATATGATTCCATTCATATGAAATGTCCAGAATAGGCAAATCCATAGAGACAGAAAGTAGATTAGCAGTTGCCAGGGTCTGGGGGGTAGGGTGGAATGGGGAGTCACTGCTAATGGGGACAGAGTTTCTTTTTGGGGTAACAAAAA